TGGGAGGTGAGTGTGAGGGGGGCAGGGTCCTGTGGGAGGCGAGTGTGGAGGGGGGCAGGGTCCTGTGGGAGGTGTGGGGGGGCAGGGTCCTGTGGGAGGTGAGGGGGGGAACAGGGTCCTGTGGGAGGTGAGTGTGGGAGGGGGGCAGGGTCCTGTGGGAGGTGAGGGGGGGAACAGGGTCCTGTGGGCTGGAGTTGAGGTGTGCCCACCCACCCAGGGGAGATGGGGGGGTGACAGGACTGGTGTCCGTCTCTGGAGACGCCAGCTGCCGTGGCAGGTGGCAGGTGGTATGGTGGCGGGATGGCCCAGGGGAGGCAGTCGGCAGGGGCGGCGCCTGTCCGCAGGCTTCGGCCCCTCGCACTATGGCTTGAGTCGTGACAGGGCCCCGTTGAAGCGGGTGGGGGTCCGTGGGAGCCTGACGGCTTCCACCAGTGGCCTGCCACGCTGTGCCCTGGACACCTGCCCCTGGGCCCTGTGGCTGTGTGGAGAGGGGGCCTGGGGCGCCCCGGGCCGGTGGCCGGGTGGGGGAATCTGGTCAAGTAGGAGGGTGGAGGATGGTGCGGGTGCGAGTGTGCGCTGCTCCCTGTGGTCCCCTTGGGGGTTGGCGTGTTGATCTGCCGTCAACTCGTTCTGGAAATGGTTCTCAGCAGCTGGCAACCCCGCGCAACCCCGGCCAGGGCCTGCGTGTCCGCAGCCCTGCTGCATGCGTGGCCGTGCTCTGGGCGGGGCTCAGGGCTGTGTGGAGGGTCAGCAGGGGTGTGTGCGGGTGATACTTCCCGGGCTGGTGTGGCTGCACATGGGCTTCTGCAGGTTGTGCCCCACAGCCCGGGTCTGCAGCGTGGCCTGGCCGGGCAGTGCAGGCTGAGGGGTGCGGGCGTGGGCGCAGGCCTGCGGCATCAGCTGGGGTGTGGGACCACTGCTGCGGTGTGGAGTGGGGGGGTGGCCTCACCCCCCCCCCGTGCTCCCCAAAGCCCGCAGGACTTGCCTTCATGAAGTCCTGCAGGGCGGTCACACTGCGCATCTCCAGGACATCGGGTGGCTAAGTTTCAGAAATCCCCCACCTGCCCAGGCCTGGGACCTCTGTGGCCCAGAAGCAGAATGTGCTGGGCCTTCGGGGGGAGGGGGGAGAGCCGGGGCTGGTGAGGAGCAGGTGAGCCCCCGGGCAGGCGGCCTGTGGGGTACCGCCTGTGTCTGTAGGAGGCTCCCCCTCCCGTCTTTGGGGGGAGGAGTTGGCTTTTGTGGGTTTCCAGATACTTGAGCCCCAGACTCACACGGCACCCCAGCCCTCACCGTGTCCTGAGTGGGGGGGGCAGTGGCGTTGAACACGATGCCCCTCCGTTGTTCCGCAGGTCAGCTCTGGGCCTGGACGGCCACCCTGGCCCCTTGGTATAGGCAGGCTCGCAGGACCACCACGTCTCTCCCCTGCCTTCCTGTCCTGTGGTATATTGGGGTACTGTGCAGAGTAGGGGGCCTCGGGGAGGTGGGGTGCTGGGTGTGGGTGCTCTCCCCGGCTGGAGTGGAGTGCTGTGTGGTTCTGCGCATGCGCACCCATGCCCAGCCGCACACCCGGCCCGGCTGCTTCCCGGGCTCTGAGGCTGGGACGGCCCCGGTCTGTCTCGGCTCCCCTCGTCTTTCTCTCCGTTCCCAGCTCCCGTGTTGGAGCCAGCCAGGTCTGGGGGCCGCAGCGCCTCCCAGCGCAGGTGTGCTCTGCAGGTGGATTAGCGTCTGGTGAGGGGGTTCACCCCGCACCCCGCCGCGCGTCTTCCCCAGCTCTGCCTGCCCCTCAGGGAGGGGCTGTGCAGCGGGGCAAGGCCCGGCACCCGGGGCTCCCGCCCCCAGCCCATGTTCTGCCCGCCTCTGCCCGCGCCTTGCGGGTGGGGGGGTGTCGAGTCCTCAGGGCCCGCTGGAGCCACGCACATGCTGCCCGCCTCAGAGGGGAGCCATCTTCTGCCTGCTGCGAGACGCGGGGGGGGGGGTCAGGTGGGGTTGTGGGCCGTGTGAACAGGCAGGGGTGGAGCCCAGCCGCCCGGGCTGTGCCACAGGCCGGAGCCCCCCTACCCAGGCGGCTGGCGCAGCCCCTGGGGAGGGAGCGAAGGCGGGTCCTGCAGGGGGGTGCCTGGCGCTGGGCAGGCTGCTGTGAGGGGAGTCCGTCCCCAGGCTGGAAGTCGGGGCCTAGCCGCTGCCTCTGAGCCTTTTCACTCAAGGCTGGTGCTCTGCTCCTTGAGCCACAGCTCCATGTCCAACTTGTTGCTTGTTAATTGGAGATGTGACCAAAACCTGGGCTGGCTTTGGATCCGGATCCTCAGATCCCAGCCTCCAGAGGGTCGAGGCGTGTCTGGAAGGGTGGACTGGGGCTCGCGTGGGGTCAGGCAGGTGCGGCTGGCAGGCCTGTCTGCCTGGGAGTTGAATGGGCGGGGGGGGGGAGGTTCTGGGGTCTAAGGTGAGCGTTTGCTGCGGAGCAGACAGGACTGGTACAAAGCCACCCCCACCCGCCCCCAAGCACTGGGGGGAGCCTTGTGGAGGTGTTCCCCGAGCGTGTGCCAGGCAGGCCGGCCGCTGTGCATGGAGATCTGCGCTGTGCTTCCTGGGTGACAGGCAGCCGCTGCTGCCGCTGAGCCCACCCCCTCGGTGCTTCACCTTGCTGGGTTCTCAGCCAATAGCGAGGGAACAGTGATGGGGAGAGGGGACATGTCCGGCCATTCAGAGAGCCACAGAGCTCATGGACCCCAAGGGCAGCTCTTTGTCCCCTGGAGGACCCCCACCGGCCTGGCCTCAGCCTGGGAGCAGGTGGATCTGGTGGATAAAACTGTGGCCTCCCCTCAAAAACCATGGGTGTTTCTGTCAGGTAGCAGGGCTCGTCCCGTGGGGTGGCAGCCTTGCGGGCCTCTCGGGCGCGGTGGCCGCTCTTGTGTGTAATGGTTGGGTTGCTTGCTTAGACCAGCAGTGTGGTGGGAAGGTCGCGCTGCGCATTCCGTCCCCCCCCCCCCCGGGCTCTGCTGCTCCTCTCCATAATTCCGAACTTCCCCTGAACAAAGCGGGAGCTCATTCCGGCCACATGTTCTTTTTCTTGAATTCTCTCTCCTGGGAAGTCCTGAGACCCTTGAAGTTCTTCTTTCCTTCAGGAACTGAGCTGAAGAAAGTTTTTTCAGTTTGGAAACTAGAGAGCTGGTGTGTGTGTGTGTGCGTGTGTGTGTGTGTGTGTGTGTGTGCGTGTGTGTGTGTGTGTGTGAAAAAGTGGACCAGTGCCAGGAGCCACGCAATTCCCTAAGGGCTGGTGCCACATCGGAAGTGCTTGTGCCCCGGGGAGTCTGGCGCCTCCATTTTCTGAAGCACCTGAACCCTTACCTCCCTTCTCAAAATGAAGGCAGCGTGTCACAGACCGGCTCAAACTGCCCGTTGCCATGGTTTTCACGTTGGAAGGCACAGTTAAAGGGTCACATGACCAGGGAGGGAAATGCCTTTGTCACATGACTTTTGGGTGGCCTGATTAGCATACAGGAAGTTCACTCCCTGCTGTCGGCTGAGATGCTGAGTGATCCTTGATGGTGGGTGACGTCATCTCTGGGATGAGTTATTGATTAGTCTGGCTGAGACGGGGCCTGGGACGGGAGGTCAGGGCGCCCGCGAGGCCATGTCTGCCCGCCCTGGCCCCGGCCTCGGCATGGGTTCAGGTTTGGTTAGACCCTCCTGGAGGCCTTGCATCCCTGTAAGTCAGGCAAAGCCACCCTGGGTGGCGGTCACTCGGCTTTGCCAGGGAGTGCTGTCATCGCACTCTGAGGCCCCACGCGAGTCCTCTTGGGTCCCCTGGACTCATCTGCCTGGGGAGCAGGGGCGCTGCAGTGCTGTGCGGGGTCTGGCCCGGACACCGCAGGTGCTGTGCAGACCCACAGGACTGGAAATGGCCCTGAAAGACTGTCGTGGGGCACTTGGAGCCATCAGTAGCGTGTGGGAGAGACCCACATGAGACGCCCTCCCCTCGAGAGGTGTTGATAAACCTGCGTGTGGGCCGCGCCGCGCCCGTGCCTTGATTGAGCCTTGTGAGTGAGGCTCTGGGACAGAGGACCGTGGCTCCAGAGTGGCCTTGTCCCCTGCCCACTCTCCTGAGGACGCAGCCCCCGGGCACGCGCAGTGGAGCGGTGTGGGTCACTGTCCTCCACTGGGGTCCGCTGCAGAATGCGGGCACAACTTTGAGCTGTGACTTCAGCCAACTTCGTCCCGTTAACTTCGTCAAACCCCGGGCCGCAGCGCCACCTAGTGGGTGCCCGGCGTCTTCAGCCGCACGCTGTGCTCAGCCCGGAGCACCTCCCCCTGCAAACGGCTGCTGGAGTGGGTGGGCAAGGGTTTCCCCCCCGCCCCCCGCAAGTCCCACCTCCCCACGTCTCCTCGGCAACACCACAGCACACAGCTGGTCATGAGGTCTCGGACACGTCAGGCGTTGGCGTGTCCAGCCTGGCTTGCATGTGTGGGAGTGGAAGCTCCCGCCAGGGTGTGCAGAGGGCTGGGGCCCGAGGGTGTCTCGGCTTTGTCCGGACCCTTGGTGAGCCGCAGGGCTGGGCCCTCCAGGGGCGAGGAGGCCCCAAGGGTGCTTCCAAGAGTCCGCAGGGCTGGGGCTGGAATGCCCAAAAGTCAGAGCACGCAGGTCTTGGGGGAATGTGGTGTTTTGGGGATCAAAGCTTGTAGCCTGCGCTACAGTTGTGGAAATACACCCAACAGGCGACTCAGGCTCATGAAGCCGTACCGGCACATGTCCCGTGCGTACCGGACCGAGGGCACGGGGTGAGGACCTGGCTGTGGGGGTGCTGTGACATGTTATGGAGGCCCAAGGCAAAGCTAGCCACGCGGGACCAGCGTAGACAAGCCAGCCGGGGGCAACCTGCTCTCTGCCCTTGGCCGTGCACCCTCCAGCCACCCCGCGCTAACCATCCGCCGTCTGCCTGCAGCAACATGAAGCCCGAGAAGAGACCCCCCTCGCCCGACGTGATCGTGCTGTCGGACAACGAGCAGCCGTGCAGTCCGCGGGTGAACGGGCTGGCCAAGCTGGCCTTAAAGGAGACAGGCACCGAGGCCCTCCTGGTAAGCCCGGCCGCGTGGGGGCCGCACCGCACACAGGGGCTACACCGCATGCGGGGGCGCTCACGCCACCCCATCCTTGCAGAAAAGCAGCCCGGAGGGCCGGGAGCAGATGATCAAGCAGCTGAAGGAGGAGCTGAGGCTGGAGGAGGCCAAGCTGGTCCTGCTGAAGAAGCTCAGGCAGAGTCAGATCCAGAAGGAGGCCGCCACGCAGAAGGTGCGGGCTGCCCCCTGCGGGGCTGTGGGGGGGGGCTAGGGTGGAGGGTCCGCGGGCAGGGGCTCAGGTCCCCTCCATGCCTGCGGGCAGGGGCTCAGGTCCCTTCCATGTCTGCCGGGGGGGGGGCTGGGG